GGCTTCCAAAAAAGAAATCAGCAGATTTCTCCAGAGTGCTGGCCAAGTAAGCATGGTTGCTGCTGGGTGCAGTTGCGTGCTGGGTGTCCACATCTGCCACTGCACTGGTACACTTGTATTTCTGGGGATCCATCTTTTTTTTTTTTACTATTCGCTGTGATTTTGACGAGTCAGACACAAACAACCTCAACAGAGCATGTTTGACTGTTGCTATTCCAAGTAACCTGGGTGGAAAAGGATGTCCTCAGTTTGATTCTCTGCTCTCTTCTGGAGTGTGGATAAGAATCAAACTGAAAACTCTGCCAAAAACTGTGTGTTGTTGTCTTCAGTATGTCTGCATGAATCTCGTTGCCATAAATTTTGAACACTTAGTACTTTAGATAGTTATTCTCACAGCAACCTTGCAACAGGAGGGAAATGCTTTCTTATCCTTTTCAGAGATATGGTATTGGCACATGAAAGCTGAGTGATTTGCCTCGTGGTCTCTGAGAAGTCTTCTGCAGTCTAGCTTCATGCCCTAGCTGCAAGGCTTCAGGCCACAGCGAGCACAGCACCATTTGTACCTGCCCAAACAACTTTGTGTGCTCCATATGTTACCAGCTCGGAAATCTATATCAGAAAAAATAACCTTCTCATTGGGTGGTGTAAGGTTAAAACGTGAAAGTCCTGTTTTATAAACACAGCTGTCAGTTGTGTGTACAAATCACAAGTGAAAATATTCAGAGATAAACTGAGGCTTCATGAAATATGTCTGCACATTTTTTTCCTACTCCAAAGTGCATTTTTTTTTGGTCTTCAATCATACATACACTCATGCTCTTTCTCTCTCTGTTTCCCTCTCTCTCTTTTAAAAATCCTCTGACAAAAGGCTGGTATTCAAATGATGCCTTTCAGGTCCAGGAGTATTTGAGGGGGCTGTGTGAGAGGCGGCTGCTGTGTCTTCTAATCCATACACTGTTCAGTACCAGCTACTGGGAAATAAATATCAACTGCAGAGTGTCGCTCTGTGAAAAGGCTAATTATCTTTGATTGTGCAACTTAATTAATTTTGAGGTCAAGCACAGAAAACATAAGCTGATGGATTTTTCCCCTCTGTCTTCTTTCTTTCTCTCTCTCTCTCTCCCTCCCTCTCCTCTCCCTCCTCTCTCTATTTTATCCCTCTTTCTCTCTTTTTCTTTCAGTAACCAATGGCACTAGCCATTCACCAACAGCGTTAAATGGAGCTCCATCTCCTCCTAATGGCTTTAGCAATGGGCCATCCTCTTCCTCTTCCTCTTCTCTGGCTAACCAGCAGTTACCGCCAGCTTGTGGAGCTAGGCAACTCAGCAAACTGAAGAGATTTCTTACAACCTTACAGCAGTTTGGCAATGACATTTCACCAGAGATTGGGGAGAGAGTGCGTACCCTTGTGCTAGGACTTGTGGTAAGCATAAAAACAATGATATAATAACTGTGATCTTTTTCTTTCCTTTTCCCTCTTTTATGCTTGACGCGTTTATTGTATAAAAGAGTGGGGCACGTATACTGCATATATCATACTTTAAGGATACCAAGCATGCAGGAATGAAGTGCTGGCTCTTGCTGCCGGAGCTAACATGAGTAACTTGACTAGCTTCCCACGAGTGGCAGCTATTCCCAACCAGATATAGACTTGAGTCTTTTTGCCAGTATAGTATTATGCTGCAGTGGTGTGAAAGGGTTTTCGTTTTATACTGGCAGCCACTCCTAACGTAGGCATACCTTGAATTATATAATGTAGTAAAATATGGTATGGCTTGCCTAGTGTAGTTGGCTGGGGAAAACAGAGCGCCCTACATATATAGTGGAGGAATACTGATTTAAAAGATGAACTGAATATAGGTTTGGATGGTGGTTATGCGAGGGAAAACTTGTTCTCAGTATTCATTGAACCCAACAATGAGAGACCTTGAGAGTGCATTGCTGCTACTTAAGTCACTGGATTTGTAAGGTTATATTGACGTGATTATGTGCCTCGATAAAAATTTCAGCTTTTTCTTACCTACATTTCTCACTCTGGTTTACAGGCAAACCATTGTTATCCGGCCCAGGATTCTTTTTATTCCCAGTAAAGTCCTCTCTCAGCCAGACATTGTTGTCAACCCCTGTATCTCCTTCAGCAATAATTAGATGCACCAGGAAAAGTGCTGTTGTGGTGCTCTAATTTACATCTGCTCTGAGCAGCTGCAGTTGCCATTGACTTCATTTGGAGCAAAGCCTGCCAGCTCTATTTAGTACTAGGGCTCAGGTGTCCTCTGCTAGTATCTTCACAAAACCCTATCTGAGAGCAGTGGGTGCCCCTTCACTTGAGTCTGTGTCAAAAGGAAGTGCAATGTAGGCAGTGTAACTTCAGTAAGTCCTGCTCTCCATTTGCTTCCATATCCAGAATGCCCATTTAATGTGGTTTTGCTTGTCACTTGGTTCTCTGTGGAAGGAGGAACTAGTAAAGAAACTAGAGACAGCTTTGGGACCATCCACCTGC